CCTCAATAGTTAAATGGAGAAACAAGTTGCAGAACATTTGTAGGGGAATATTACTCCGTGATTAAAAGAAAAGAGCAGTCAAGCTGTGCGAAAACATACATGAATCTTAAATGTGTATTACCAAGTGAAAGCAGCCAGTCTGAGAGGGCTACATACTGTATGATCCCACTTATAGGACATTCCTGAGAGGGGAAAACAATAGAAATGAGCAAAGGGTGAGGGATGGTCAGGGGGTTAAAGTGGGGGTTCAAGCAGGTGAGGCACAGGGGGTTTGTGGGGCAGTGAAACTATTCCACGAGGTACTGCAGAGATGGGTACATATACTATGCATTTGTCAAAACCCACAGAATTCTGCAGCACCGGGAGTGAACCTTAATGTATGCAAATTTAAAAAATAATGTATGAGGTTGGGAATCACGGAATGAAATGCAGAAGGTGACGAAAGAATCTAACTGCATTACAAAGGTAGGAAACCGCCGTGTTAAACAGGGCGTGGCGAAGAGATGCTCCCCTGAGTGCCTGGATATGAGTGTCCTCTGCTGGACTAAAGGCCGACGAGGCTGCGCGCAAGTGCTGACGCGGGTAGATAGCGTTGTTTGGGGGCACTCGCCAACAATTCTAACACTACCTATGTGTGCTGGAACTGAACAGCCACGTACCTGAATAGTGACTAGTGAGGGCCAGGGTCCCCGCTGTTGGGGGCAAGTGTGCAAGTAAGCTGCAGGCTCAGAATGATCCAGGTGGCGTAAGAATTCACATTTAACTTAACGTAGACATGGAGATATAGGTGGACACACACGCACCCACTTTCTTGCTCTATTAGCTGAAAAGGTCTAGAAGCAATAAGTAGCTATTGGCCTACAAGCCTCAGTAGCCACCAGCACCCCTAGACCCAGACCCTGGTTTCTAACACAATTTTCCAATGAAAGGAACCAGGGCTCCTTGTAGAAATGGCTGGTTCTAGGACCAGAGGACAAAATGTACGAGCTGAACCCGGAGCATCTTGTCGTGTCAGATAAGTAAGAAAGTGGAAGGAAAGAAAGACAGGACAAAGGGGTCCCCAAATGAAAGTGCTCCCAAATGACCGGAGTTGGAACGATCTGAGCAACAAAATAAACACAGCAGTACAGAATTATACCCAAAGTATCGAATACACCCCCACGATGTCATAGTGATAGAACTAAATGTTGGGATAAATAAATAATTATGGGAGAGTAGATACATCTCTCAGGCAAAAGAATTCCAAATAGTGTATGTTGATAAACTTCCCTCAACAACAAGAAGCCCTGAGTGTGGGCTGGGCACTGGCGTCCTTCCAGAGGGCACAGGCTGGGAAGGGGACAGCAGCCTCGCTGAAGTTTCCGTGAAGACATCGAACCACCCCCTCAGCCAGGAGGTCGAGGTCGACATCCAGAGCCATACGTGATGCTGGTAATATACGCCCTTGATTTTACATGATGATACTAGATATTATATAATGCAAATAGCACTTTACCTCTGCGGCCTTCCTCCCCAAAATACATAACCCCATTCAAGTGATGAAAAAGCATCCAGACGGGTCACACAATTGAGGGACATTCTACAAAATACCTGACCAGTATCCCTCAAAACTGTCCAAGTCACCAGAAACAAGGGAAGTCTGAGAAAGTGAGATGCTGTGTCGTTGCCCAGAACACCAGCTGCTCTGCGACGACTCTGCTCCCACTGCGGGCCCAGCAGCAGCGGGATGCATGGGCGGCTCGAAGGACGAGGACTGGGGCGGCTCCGTTTCAACAAGAGAGAAACCAGCTGAGCTAATCTCACCCAGTAACAGGAAAATGCACGGCGTTTGTAATCAGTAGATTAGAAACAACTTCAATGTACAATCGCAGGGAATTGATGAAGTTCCAGTACATTCTTAAATACAATACCGTGGTACTATGGAAAAATGATATAGATGTCTATTCATAAAAACGGAGGTTCATGTAAATGAAAAAAGCAGAATAGATCATCTAACCTTATTACTGTAAAAACATAAATATGTACGCAGGAACCTGTAAGGACATACACATTTAAACCATAGCAGCGATTATCTCTGAGTAGTATAAACATAGCTATTTTATTTCTCGTTGGTTATTGACACTTTCCTATTATGACCGTGTTTGAGTGATGCACAAAGAAACATACTACTAAAGTAATTCTTGGATTGTGGATCAGAGCCATTCTACAAAATCATACATAATAGAAAGTCAGTAAAGCTGAGTTTCCTCGGGCTTTAGCCCCAGACATCTCAGCGAGCGCCTAGCTGAGCACACATTCGACAGCCTGTAAAGCAATATTCACTCATTGGCTTCTTGGAGCACCTACCGTGTCCTGCTGATGTAACCATGAACAAAGCAGACAGACATCCCTGCCCTCTCGGGGCTGCCATTCTAGGACTCCCCCTCTGAAACTTGCGACTAGCCTACATAAGAAAAGGTGTTCGAGCATAACTAATGATTCTATTACTACAAACCCCAGAGTGCCCATACCAACTCTGCCTCTGAAAGAGCCTAACACGGAAAGACGTCCGGCAAATGGTCCTACGGTGGCATAACATAGGATGCAGAAGAACAGAGATGTTTAAGATCTCGGAGAGCCTAAATGCTTCTTAGGGTGAACAAGGGATTGTGGCGCCATCCATTCCAGGAACAAACATAAAAACAGTCCTGCTGCCCCGGAGAAAGGGGTAGAGACAGGAAAGGGCCTCGGCGTCAGAGCTGGTGGGGCCGACGCCTGGGCTGATTTACCGCACAAGTCACGGTCCCTCTCCACATTTATTCTGTTTGCTGCTCAGCATGAACCCAAGCAAAGTATTATTGAATTTCCCACTTCTCAGCATGAGGAAACGTTTATCGTTTGCTGGAATTCTGATCATCAGAACAAAAACTCTTCTTGCCACCGGAGTTGCTGCAAATCTCTGATGGAGATTGGCTCCCCACCGAGATGGTGGAAATGCTTCTATGCCTGCTGTCAGCCTCACTCAAAATGTGGGGAAAACGGAAATTCAAAGAGTGATGTTTTGCACCTATAGCCTTTCCCCCTGCAGGGGACCCTGATTTGATCACAAGCAAAAGAGCAGAGCCACAATGAGGGCACCATCTAGTTTAACGGGGACTTCTCTTTCTGGGGTGCTGGGGTGGCCCCCTGAGGACTCCTTCATTCCTGAGATATTCCTGGAAAGGGGTCTGACCCTGCCCCTTCAATAACTGGGCACTTCCCACAGCTGAGCCGGAGCAGACCTGTTACAATCCACCCCCCACCCTTGAACTGGGAACAGGACCCCTCCCCTCCGTGTGCCTTCTTGTCACCACGTCGGACCCTTTCCTCTTGGGCACACATTCACGAAGTCTGCTCTGGTCTCCTGGAGCAATTTACTCAAGAAAAGACCTAATTAGCTAATGGAGATTGACAAAGCCACGCGTCCGCACAGAACCTGCACTTGCAAGGGCATTATCGACGCTACTTTCAAGGGTGCTTAGGGAAAGGACCGTTCGAGACAAAAACATGACACAGCATCGTCTTTATTTTACAGTTACACACATTGTTTGTTTTTCACAAAACCGTTGTTCTTTGAGGAGTTTTCATCCTCACTTGTTTAAATCTCGTCAAACACCCCAGTTCCTCCGGAAGGTGTCTATGACTCGCCCCTCTCCCCTGCCACCACCGGCCCACCTGTCATCCTACCTCCTCTCTGTGTCTCTCCGAGACCACTCTGCCTAGTAGCTACTTTTTGTTGTTGTTGTTGTTGTTTTGGGCGTGGAAGACTATTACACAGACTCATTCTTCAGAAGATAGCTAGGGATTTAATCATATGTAAAATTGAGGGCTATTAGTGGGATTCAGGTGCTGAAGACTGGAGCCTTCAAAGCACCTTCAGCACAGTTGTGAAGGTGACAGCCGCTGGAGGGAGGGGTCCTGGCCAAACTGAACAGGGCGAAAGTTAAGCTGGTATCTTCGCCGCAGGGCTTCTCTGAGGCCCAAATGAGGCGACGCGCTGTGAACCCCCGGGCACAGCCGACGACGCGCTGTTCCCCGCAGTTTCACAGGCCGACTCGCCGTGTTGAGCAGAAAACGCTCCCAGAGCGCCCGGGGGATCCGCTCCCGTCTCACAGCCTCTCCGGCGCTCAGCCCCGCTGTCCTGCGCTCGGTGACAGCAGGCCCGAGACAGCGTCCCGGGTCCTCACGCAGCCTAGTGCAGCCCAGTGCCCCGAGCGAGGCGAGCTGGCTCAGCATCTCCCGCCTTCCCTGCCCTGCGGCCACTGCGCGGGGGCTCCCGGCTTCTGAACAAATCCTAATATTGGCACTTTTCAGAAAGAAGTATGGGACATGGGTTTTCTCCTGGTTCAGAGACCGAGCCATGATATGACCTCTGCACAAACCATTTCCACCTACAGACAGTTTCTATCTGTGTTTACACACGTGTGCGTGCGTACACACAGAGAAACACATACATGAAACTAATAGAAAGAATAATCATTTAATGCCTCTCGAGTATTGTTTTACCTGAAGAACAAAATCCCTACCATTCATTCCATCTCTCAAATCAGTGTCTATTTTCGGTATGGGCCTAAAATCTGGTGGGAAGCCCTTACAAAAATGCCCCCAAACTACCCATGAGTTTTGAATTGAAAGAATTGGAATGTTAACGTCAGTTCCATTGAGAATAGAACAATACAAGCCCTGGGCCTGTGATTTTCAGCTCAGGATCTGCCATGGTAAAAAAAATAAATAAATAACTGCCATCCCTCAAAAGAAACTCAAGATAAAAGACAATTCCAAAGACAGTACTCTTTGGAGTCTTCACGTAAAAGACAGTGCAGGGTCCTCTACACCCCAGAGTCGTGCCTGGACTTGGTACATGGGTAACTGATCTAGTCCCCAGGCAGACAACAAGTGTGGGAGAAAGGCGAGTGCAGTGTGGGCAATTTGACGTCAGCCTTTACCTAGAGGCAATGAAACTCAGAGCAAGGAGTGCCAACTTTGGGCAAGCTATTTAATTATGCCTCAGTTTCCTAATCTGTGGAATGGAGATCATGGTACCTTCCTTCAGAGCGGCAGTGATGATTAAATGAGATAATAGATAATACATGTTAAGAACCTAGCTTTGTCCCTGATATTTGATTAATGTGCAATACATATCAAAGCATTTATTATAAAAAACCCATCTTAGGGGTATCAGAAGTTATCATTTTTGAAGTTACTCATTCAATAACTTACAATGTACATAACATTTTGTTTTGGTAAAAGAAACATAAGCTTCCTAAAATGTGTTCCGACCTCAGGGCTGGTCAGTTCTCTTCTGAGTAGTCCTCTGGATGGACGTTTTATCCGTAGTCCCCTAGAACAGGACACACAACAATGTCATTGCAAGCCAGCCGGCATCTACACACACAAACTGTTTCTACATGAGGCGGTGGAGGTCCGAAGCAGAGCCGCATCTACTGCCAACACTACTGTGCACACCAGCAGCTGCACACACAGGGGGGCGATGAATGAGAGGGGCGATGAATGAGCTATCTGCAGCGGTGAGTGACAATGGTACCGTACCTTTCCATCTAGGGATCCCTGCACCGAGGCACCCTGGGGCATCTGCTCAGAAGTAAGTGACTGACTAGTCTCCATCAATGGCAGTCATGACCGTAAGAGGTGGTGAAGCTCTGGGCCACTCCTTTCAGCGAGAGCCAACGTATCCTCGGCTCTCCATCATTTACTGCCCACCCACGGAGCTTGATTAGCTTCACAAACCTCATAAGGCACAGTTGAAGTGGGCTCCAGAAAAGAATTGGCTGCTGCGGGTGCTATTACTTTACCACGTAAGAGTCACTTTGCTAAAGATGTGCAGGGATTCAAGGTGATATTCCCAGAATAGTCTTATGGTGCTGGAGCTGCAGGAGGACCCCTTGGGTGGTTTCAGAAACCATACAAGCTGTTCTTTCATGAAGTGGCCTCTGGTGGCTTCTGGATTGGAGCATGCTATTTGTGGAACTCTCTTTATATCTGAATTCTCAACACCCATATCTCTCAATAGGTTAGAAAGGGAAAACATTAAATTTCTCTGAAATGTATGTAAAATCACGTCTACATGGATAGAGCCAAACAAAGCTATCTTGGAAGACAGTTGTAGATGTTTCGCTCAGAAATTCTTTAATGCGTAATATTTTGAGCATATAGAAAAGTATAAATACTAGCATAACAAATACCAGTGTATTCTCAGTACCGTTTAATCAAATCTTAACATTTTGTGTATTCAAAAAATTATTTGAAAAGATTGGATATTACAAGTAGAGTTGAAATACCTAGTATGCCCACCCATCATAGTTCTCTATAGCTCCCCAAAAACATCATCCACAATTTGGTGTTCATTATTCCTGTGCATATATTCACTAAACTACTGTATTTGTGTGCACCCATAAAATATCTAATATGTTTGGTTGTTTTAAAGAATAATATAAATTGTGTTAGATGGTATATATCTTGTTGCAGCTCACTTTTCTTCTTCAACATTATGTTAAGCATGTTTGTAATAGCAGAAAAATGGAAAACAAATGTCAATGGTTAAATATCCTGTGGCATATCTGTTTAATAGACTGCTATACAGATGTTAAAATAGACATTTTCCCGAGAACTAGCTTTATATTTTGCATAGAATTTCCTTTGCCATATATCAGCAAACTTTCTGTGTGTTGGGGGGAGGTGGGGGGTTAAGCGTGTCTCTTAAGAGCAGGATAGAGCTGGATTTTGGATTTTGGATTTTTTTTTTATCTAATCACATACTCTCTATATTTTAATACCAGAATTTAAGCCATTTGCAATTATTGCATTTACTGATTTTTTGGAATTGATTCTACTATCTAATTTTGTTTTAGTTTTGGACTTCACTACCTAATTTTGTGATCATTCTTCATTCCTTTTTTTTTTTTTTTTCTTCCTTTCTGCCTTCTATTGATACATTTTCTATATTCCCTTTGTTGTTGTTCTCTTGCTGATGTATATGCTGTAGGTTATATTTAAATTATTTTACTGACGATCCTTTGTGTTAAAAAGTTACAACATTACAGAGTTCTTCCCAAAGACAAAATAGATCTTAGCACTCCTTAACTCCCTATTGAATAGCCTTCCTTCTATCAATAGCTTGTTTCCTATTTTAACACAAAATCGGGCATTATTTTTACGGTGACACTACTCAAATTTGCCAGCACATTTTATTTGCTTGTATGTGCACCACTAATTCTTGTATTCACACTTGACTTTGGAGTTCACTTTTCTCCTTGTGGAAGTATATCCCTCAGCACATGGAAGTTGTATCTTCATTGTCTTCTTACATTTACTGTTACCAATGCAAATATCGCTATCAGTTGGTTTTCATTTTATTATAGGCAACCTGCTTGCAGCCTCCTGGACATAATCTTATCTTCTCATAGTATTTAAAATAGTTCTCATTTTTTATGTAATTTTAGGCAATCTCACGCACTGTCTTTAGGCATGCATTTGGTTTTATTTCGGTATGGCAATTGAGGTGCATTTTCCATCCAAGACATCAGATCCTTATCAGATATGTGATTTGCAAATATTTTCTTCCATTCTGTGAATTTTCTTCCCACCTTCTTGATAGTGTCCTTTGAAGCACATTTTTAATTTTAACGAAGTTGTGCTATCTATTTGTTTTGGTTGCTTGGCCTTTAAGTGCCGTATCTAAGAAATCATCGCCTAACCCAAGGTCATGAAGATGTATCCTTATGTCTTCTTCTAGGTTTTATGGTTCATGCGCTTTCATTTGTCACATGGTTCCATCTCTATGTTGTGAGTGGTATAACGTCCTAAGGACTATCTTCCAACATTAATTCTCTTTTCAGTTGTGGTCTCTTTTTTAAAATTTTCTTTCTCTTTTAAAATAACAATGGTCATATGTCTGTTTGTTTTTTTAATTTAACATTTCTGCTTATTTTGCATAGCTCTATTGTTTTGTTTCTGTACAATTTTACTTTATTGTTTTTTAAGGATTGTTATTCCTCCACTGGGTTTTTTGAGTATCCTTACACAAGATATTTTTAACTGTTTGAGAGCCAGCACAAACAGCTTGAGGTAGAGGCAACCTGTGTTGTTCCTGCGGTAGGAAGAAATAGTGAGCTGGCTATTGTAACACGGGAGGTGGAAGGTATCTGCTAGACAAAGTTTGAGAACTACCTACTCCAGCTCTACAGGCTTTGGAGTGGTCAGAACTTGGAACCTATGACACCCAACTTGGGGCCAGTTTAGACCACCCACCAAAGGCCAAGGCCAAGGTGGCTGAGACTTTGACTCAGAGGCCTTGGAAACCCAGCAGGCCAACAATAGGCCTCCAGCAGAGCAGACGGGAACCAGGTCAGCTCTGCATATCCTTGTAGATGTCCAGGATGATGTCAGAGATCCCACCTGACCCTGGAATGTCATGACCTCCCACAGAAGAGCAAATACCATTGCTACACACTGGACTTGCTTGGTTTAGAGCTGGCTTCCTCCTACTGTCTATAGTCCTAAGGACCCATTAACCACCAGCAGGGGCAAGATGAAAGGGGCTCTGGAAATAACAGAGCAACTAAAAAGCAAGTTAGTATAGTTGATGCAAATTCAAACTTGAAAATGAGCCTTTTTCTGAGGATAACTGTTTTCTATATAGTCATAAATAAAAATAGACAGCGCCCACTCACACACCCATCCACCAGCCTTATCAACACTAATGAGCACCCAATGTGTGCTTGCCACCTTGGCAGGCACTGGGCAAAAAACAAAAACAAAACAAGACAGTCCCCACCCTTGGAAAAGCCACATACCACTGGGTAAAGGACTTATAAGCAAATCATTATAAGTAAACATTAATTCTACCAAGATTATTTCGAGAGACTGCAAAAAGAAATTAGCAAGGGAGAAAAGGGTGAGCAGTGTCTCAGGCAGTGACAGAGGCAAGGAAGTTCAAGGTCTACTCAGTGGACACCAAGTCCAGCTGTTGAGCTGGGGGGTGAAGCTACAAAAGTTGAGGTTGAAAAAGCAGACAGACATGGATTATGTTTCATCTACGCTAGGGAGCCCCTGATTCTAAAGTAAATTATTATTTCACGTACAACCAAGAAAACAATGTTCATAAAGTTATAACATACCATTGATTGAGAAACATTATTATCTCAGGGGCCAAAATGCAAGGCACTGTCCCTCTCAGAATGGATTAAATATGGTAACTCCCCACAGAAGAAATGTAAAAGACAAATTAACATTAGAAAATAATTTTTAAAAATAAAATAAATACAAACCAAACATGGATCTAATTTTTCTCATCAAATTGGTAAAGTATGAATGTTAGCATTAGCAAGAGCACAGTGAAATGGCACATTCATCACTGAGAGTATAAAATAATACTACCTTTCTGGAAATCATGATGACTATAATGTATTAAGAACCTAAACATGTACCCATTCTTTGAGCCAATAATCCTACATATAGGAATCTGTCCTCAATCCAAAGAAAGATTTATGTGCAAGAATGTGAGGTTACTTATAATAACAAAAATACAAGCTACATTAATGGCAAATTATCAGTGAATATACAGTTGATCCTTGAATAACATCGGGGTTGGGGAGCCAACCTCCCATGCAGTCAAAACTCCACATACGACTATAGTATAAATTAATCACATGGAATGTTAGTCAAGCACTAAAATGCTTTTAAAATATTGAATAATATGGGAGCAATCTCATAATGTAATGGTAAATTTTAAAAGGGTTGAAACAAAATTCCATGTAGAGTATAATTCCACTCTAGGGGGAAAAAAGTACCTAATAAAGACCGGAAGGAAAGGTAATCTTGGTTGCCTCTGAGTGGTGGCATTCACACTTTCTTTCTTACAACTTTTATTATTTTTCAATTTTTTCCTACTATGTTTACGTTTGCCTTTTATAACGCCCCCCCGCAAAAAAATGTGGTTTTGCAAGTTCTACTTGTAAAAACTAAATCGTGGCAGGGAATGTTGGCCTATGTACGCATGGAGACAGAATGACCGATAGGTGCCTCTCCTATTAGATCCTGTTACTACAGAATCATCGTGAACGCCTAAAATCTCCTGCCAGTGTTAGCTGGGTCCAGCAGGGCTCGCGCATGACTTTCTTACTTTCCAGTGGGAGAGACTAGCTGTGAGCGCCCACCATGAGTCACAACTGTCCTCAATTCATAAGCAAGAAGCCGCAGAGCCGCAGGGAGCTTGCACAACTGGAACACAGCAGAGCTGGGCTGTGAACCCAAGTCTCCCGCACCAAAGGCTCATCCTCACTCCCTGCCCCGTCTGTCTCTCAAAGAAACACTTCCAAACATGTCCAGATGATCATTAAGGAAAACCAGGACTCTACTCTTCCCATCAGCAAGCAGGAGCGACTGGGAACCAAATATGGGTACGTTCTGGCCGCTCCTGAAGGGACTTCACAAATGTGGATGACAGAGGCGCTCTAAAAACGCGGAGCAGCCTGGATAAATAAATGCAGGGCCAGGTGCCCGGTTTACCAGCTGCTGACCTCGACTCCTGCGAAGCAGCTCTCCCTGCCGTCTGCGGTCGCTAAGGCCGCGCGCAGTGCCATCTACCCACCTGGCAGCGTGAGGCGACTCGCGGAGCTGGCGCTGGGGGCCGGGGAGCCGTGCGAGCGCTTCTTCGTGCCTGCAAAGGCGAGAGAGAGGGTGAGGGCAGGCTTCGGGGGCAGGTAGGTGCCCATCTGAAGTGTTATGGAGTCACCCGAAAGTCTGGGTGGGAGCTGTTGGGAAGGAGGGTGGGCGAAGGGGTGAGCAGCTTGTATCCCACGGTCCAGAGAGGCCAGGAGCAGCCGCGCGAGGCCGGCTCCGTCCCCGGCTTGGCAGGCTGGGGTGTCGGGGACCAACGCGCCACTGAGCGGGGCTGCGCCTCAATCTCCAGGGAAGATTTCTACACATGCAACAGCCTGCGAGCCCCCCCCCCAGGGCCTGTCTCCCTTGTGCTGCGGGGGAGCCCCAGCATGGGGGCTGCTGACGCCCCCAGGGGACCCCAACCATCCAGGGCGAGAATCCTGCTGTGGAAGGAAGTTCTGAACTTAGAATCGAGGCATCGGGGGCTTGTCCCTGCTGTGTCCCTTTACTCGCTGTTGGACCTCAAATATATTAACTCGATTTCTTTGAAGCTCAGGTCTCCATCTGCAAAAGGAGGGAAATGACAACTCCATCAAAGCGTCCTGGTGAGGACTTAGTAGCCACGGCGTGTGAGGGGCTCAGGGAGGCCACGCAGATGCCAGGGTGCTGGGGTCTTCCAGTCCCGCGGCTGCCAACGGAGCTCACGGACAGCTGGGGGGCCCCGTGGGAATGAGAAGGCAGCCCCCAGAGAGCAAAACTAAGAGGGATCAATTGTTCTGCAAAAGAACATGTGTGTGTGTGTGTGTGTGTGTGTGTGTGTGTGATGTATATATATACACACATTAGCCATACATGTCTTATTTTATATATAAATTTATATACACACAGACATGTGTAGACAATGTACATATATACATACATATTTTATATCTAAATAAAATGTTACTTATTTTTTCAATCATTTCCTTATTTTGCCATCTAAAAGAGGCCCAGTGGCCAGAACCCCGCAATATGGCAGGGGCCTGGAGTCTGAGCTGCAGAAATGCAGAGACAATTCTTTTTTTGTGTGTGTCTTTTTCTTTTTTATTTGTGTATGTGCATGCGTGCGTGTGTTGTTGTTTTTAACTTTGCAGAGACAATTCCAAAGCAGAGGAATTACACAATTCCATGTGAAGTGACCTCCCCTGAATCTACCCAAGCTTTTCATAAGGTCTGCTTTCCAACCAGAGACCTGGTGTGAACGGAGGTTGTGTTCATTGGGAAACTCTGCCCGAGTCACCACCATCCTGGCTCAAGATCACAAGGTGGCCATCAGAGGGAGCAGGGACTTGGAGTGGAGCTGGGGGTGAGTAGGGAAGCCCTCCCTACCCCAGAAGCGCTGTGAGGTGGGGAGAAACGCACTGGGACAGTGTCTGAGGCTGCTTCATTTCAGCCTTCAGAAACAGGGGACCACCTTTGACATTCTGTGTTATTATTTATTATTATTATTATCAGAAGTAGCAGTAGCACTGTTCATAGTATTAGTAGTAGTATTAAAAATAAAGATACACAAATTGATCCAAACACCTCGGACCCACAAAAACTGTTCATGTGCATGAGGTGGAGACGCTGGGCAGGGCTGGACGTGGCCATTTTCCAGGACTCAGAGATTCTGTGAATGTCAGAGTTGGAGGGACTCGGAGGGTCCCAAGCTGGCCAGAACTGTGACTCAGAAACCCCTGGGGTGATTTTTATAAGTGGCTCCCACAGCCCTTTCCTGAAGCAGAATCTCCAAGGTATGGAGCCAGAAGTTTTCCTGTCAACAAGTTCTCCAGGTGAGTCAAACGGTCATCGGTCAAATGAGGTGTCCTGGCCACCAGGGGGTAAAAGATTTACTTGAAGTGATACTTTGGGTCAGGGCCAGGGCTGCCTCATTGCACAACTCCAGGGGCTGCTATTTGCACTGTATCCTACACAAAGGGTGGTGGTCCTGAGTGGGTAACAGGTCGGTCCTGATCAAGGACACCACCCACATGCAAATCCACACCTCTGACCTGGTCCAGAGCCTCTTCTGACCCACCAGGAAGGCCTGTGGGGTGCTGGGGTCTCCCGGTCCCGCAGCCAGCAACAGAATTCACAGGCAGTTGGTGGGCCCCGTGGAAATGGGTCCACCTCCACAGTGGGGATGCCAGTAACTTGAGATATTTAACCTCCATTCACAAGACATTTAACTTGTCCCACTGTCCCTTCGCAGTAAGGTTCCTCAATGGCACAATGATATTTGGGTCACATAACTCTTCATGGGAAAGGCTGACCTGGGCATAGGAGGCCTTTTAGCAGCAACCTTGGCCTCTAGTGATTAGGTTCTGAGTCAGCCTCCCACTGGCTCCCCGATAACTGAGGTTGGCTCCTGAGATCAGTGTCCACTCCAGACACTGAATTACTGACCACGCTACTCGAAGTCCCATGGGTGGGAATAATACTCAGCTTAGCTCAGTTCCAGCTTCTAAAACCCTTCCCCCTCGTTGCTCCATTCCCCAGGAAAACATCAGAGCCGGGCTGGAAGATGCACGGCCAGGGTCCAGGCCAGCTTCCAGCCTGCTCTGCTGCCCTGAGCTGGCACTGGCCTTGGGACACACGCACCCCGCCCTGTGACTTAAGCGTAGATCTTACTCTGTGAGTGACTCAGATTCACCCTCAGTGCTCTTCCATCCTGGCTACATCTTAGGAGCATCTGGGCAGTTTTAAAGAAAATATGCTGATGCCCAGGCCCTGCCCCCAGGAAGGGTGTGGCCCAGGGCTGGGTATTTTAAAAATTCTCGGAAGACGTGGCTCCCAGCCGTCAGGGAAGAATTCTCTTCTGAACACCTGGTGGGCGCTATCCTCAGGGAATGGCGGGAATCCTGCCAATGGCGTATTTGCCTTTTTACATGGCTTTCCAGGAAACTCAGGTCCAGTTCGTGCCTTCATGCTGGGACCCGGGGCCGTCTGCCCCCGCTCGGCCCGCCGCCTCGGGTCTTCGTCTGCCCCCTTAGCTTTTGCAAAAAACAAAATTGACTAAATGCACGTGAGTTTAGAATTCTGCAACATTTTATCGAGGTTGCTAAAGTGAAAACAAACCATCACATCTGCGTGCCAGCTCCCCTTAATTCTCCTCATCTATAAAGATTTCTAAACATCAGTTTCGGGAGTAATTCTGAGGATCAAGTGAGAAGGCGCGCGTGCAGATGCGGGGCAAGCTGTGCGGGGCCACGCAGCGGTCGTTACCAGCTCACATGCAAAGGAAAGATGCGTGTATGTGTGCATGTGTGCGTGTGCGTGTGTGTGTGAAGGAGCTGGCATGTCATCTCTGGGAGAAAAGCATTTTAAGGTCATGAATTACGTCGTCCTTGGTCCACGGCATCTGAATGTCCAAAGAGTAAACAACCCAATCAGTCAGCTCGGGGGCAGAAATGTCATCGCCGCAGCTTGTGGGGCTGGAAGTATCTTTTGACAAACGAATAGCTTTCAGAAATTTCAAATTAATGTCCTCGGTTGGCTCAGCTAAAGGGCAATAAATGTGATTCATCAGGGGCCTGGAAAAGGGGACAGTGATGGAAATGACAAGCAAGGCTGACCACTTGCGGGCAAAGACACACACCTAAGACTCAGGATGCGTAGTAGGAAACCCCCGTTATTGCAGCCTGACCTCAAACAAATAACCTCCCTTCTGCCAAACGGGGTTGCACCGCCAAGCCCAGGCCCAGGCCTGCTGGGGAAGCGTGATGTAAGAGCCCCGAGGCCAAGCTCACCGACACTGATAGTCCAACAACAGCAGTGCTGCTATGACACAGGCAGATGCCCCAGCAGAGGCTGCTGCTGCAAGAATAAGCTAGAAAAAGGGTCCGTGGGCCTCCCGGGCATCTTCCATCCCTCCCGTTTAGTGTATTGCAGCGTCCACCCGAGTGATCTCCGCGAGCCTCCGTCGATCGCTGTCGCTAAGCTCATCTACCAGCATCTCTCTGTCCCATCGGGGTGGCGGACATCATCGGGCATCATCGAGCCGCCTCCTGATGCCTCAGAACAAGTCACCATTCTCGCCCCTTTACAGCTTCGACAAAACAGCATCAAGAGAAACCCACGCCCTACTTAGGGCTGTGGAATGGCTGACGGTGTGGAGGGTTCCAACCCACCCACGCTTCCCTAAGAGCTGTTTTCCGATAGTATATATATATTAGAGTGGCCTATTCAGATTTTTTAATTATATTTTTTAACTGATTTAGAGAAAGGAAGGGGGAGGGAGAGAAAGAAACACCGATGAGAGAGAAATATCGATCAGCTGCCTCCTGCACGCCCCCTACTGGGGATTGAGCCCACACCCGGGCATGGGCCTGACCTGGGATGGAACCGGCGACCTCCTGGTGCGTGGGACAACGCTCAGCCAACTTAGTCACATTTTCCCTCCACAATGCAACACCCCTCGGTACTGTGCTTGCTCTTGTGTGACTTCATCTCTGTTCATCACGAAGAACAGTGACCAAAACCACAAGAGCCACTCAGACATGCAACACTACGTGCAGCTTAAATAAGGCCATTTTCATATTTGAATATGCTTTGGAACTGGGCATGTGAATGACGGGTCTGAAAAAATAGTCACAGCCTTTGACCCAGTGATTGTACATCGAGGAAACTTTTCCAGTGGAGATATTCAGAAATTCGATCAGGCCTTGTGTACAAAGGGCTCCATTGCTATGTTATTTACAGCTGTCGAATATAAAAGTGTGTAACTTCATTGTCCAACAGAGAGGTGGTTAAGTTAACTGTGCTAGAGTCACAAAACATTATGTTGCTATTGAAATTATATTAATAAAGAGGTGTGTTTTTTTAATGGGACAATATTAAAAATCCAATATTATGTGGGGAAAAACATAATACAAAATTAAATGTAATGCACTGTATGGCCTTGACTGTGTAAAAATGCATAGCAAAAGACCATAAGGAAAGAACTGACAGGGAATAGTCAATGGATGGGGCATTACAAGTGATTTTAATTTTATCATACTTCTCTATATTTTTCAAAATAAAACTGTTTCTTCTTTC